TATGTTGCAAAAAAGGGAAGCAGATATCCCTCCTGGGAGTTGGGCACTTGTGACAGTTAACCTCCAAGATGCCCCCAGCAATCCTCATCACCTGGGGTTCATAAATTAATGAACTGTGGCTGGCATGAATGACCAACAGAATGCTACAGAAGTGACAGTGTGTGACTTCCCAGGCTAGGTCAGGAAAGGCATTGCAACTTCTGCCTTGGTCACTGTTTGATCACTAGTTTGGGGTTGGGGGTGCTAACCTTTGATAGTGAGGACACTCAAGCAGGGTGGAGAGACCCATTTGGGGAGATGAACCACCTTGCCAGGACCAACTTGGTAGCCATGTGAGTGAGGACCTTGTAAGTGGATCCTTCAGCCTTAGACAAGTCTTCACATAATACTAGGCCCCCAGCCTTGGATACTGCCAGCAAAGACCCCAGACAACATGCAGCAAAGACAAGCCATCTCCTCTGCACACTGTCTAAATTCCTGGCCCACGAAAGCCATGAAATAACAAATGGTTATTGTTTTAGGCCACGGAGTTTTGGAGTGATTATGTAGTAATAGAGAACAAATACAGCATTTATTTCCTCTGATATCTCCTTTGATTCCACATGGGGAACTTATTCTTGACTGCTCAATGAACATAGCAGGCTAAACATCATTCTGCTTTTTCAAATACCACTAAATAAGGGTAAAGAAATGAAGTACGGAGGAAGATCCAAGATGGCCCTTCAGGAGCAGCTCAGGATTGCAGCTCCCAGTGAAAGCACAGAGGGTGAGTGGATGCCGCATTTCCAGATGGATCTTTATTGCCCACAGACCAGGAGATTCCCAGGTGGAGGAGCCCCATGGTCGCCAGCGCGGCTGTTTCAACTGGCATGGCTGTTTTGCTGGCACCCTGGTGCTGCGGTTCTCTGTACAAAATACGCTGGTCTGGTTGCCCTTTTAAGCTGGCAATTGGAACTCCGAGAAGGCAGATTTGCCCATTCATCTGATTAAACAGGTCTGAAACAGGGAGCCAGGCCAGGAGATTCCCAGGCAGCACCATTGTTTCAACCAGCACAGTGGGGTTGCCGCACAGGAAATCACACAGATCCCGGTGCCCTTTCAGCAGGTGACTGGAACACTTGGGAGAGAGTCAACCATTCAACTTAAAAAAAAAAAAGAAGGCTCTGAGGCAGGGAGCCAGGTGATCAGGCTTGGCAGGTCGAACCCCCACAGAAACAGAAAAAACCCCCAGCAATTGGAAATGCTCGGGGTTGAGAGTTTCATGGCAAGCACAGCTGAACCTGTGATGGCCCAGCTCTGCCGGGAGGGGCATCTGCCATTACCGAGGCACTCCACCACTACAGAAGTAGTCTGCCATTGCTGAGGCAGCCTGCCATTGCCAAGGTAACCCACCGTTGCTGAGGCAACCAACCATAACAGAGAGAGTCTGCAATTACAGAGGCGGGCCACCATTGCTGAGGCAGTTCTAACCACACCCATATAAACAGGACTGCAGGGAAGTTCACATGGCAACAGGGTGGAGCCCACACCAGCTCAGCAAAACCTCTGCAGGCAGTGACTAGACTGCCTCCTTGCTGGGCAGGGCAGCTCTGAAAAAAAAGGCAGCAGCACAACAGATACTCATAAATAAAGCCCTAATGTCCCGGGACAGAGCACCTGAGGAAAAAAAGGGGGGTTTATGAGTTCTGCTGCAGCAGACCTAAACGTACCTGCCTAGCAGCTCTGAATGAACAACGGAGCTCACAGCTCACCACTTGAGCTCCTATAAAGAACAGACTGTCTCCTCAAGCAGCTCCCTGACACCTGTATATCCAAAGAGTCACCTCACAAAGGACTGATCAGACTGACATTTGGTGGGCATCATTCTGGGACAAAGATAGCAGAAGAAGAAACTGGTAGCAACCCTCATGGTTCTGCAGCTGCTGAAGGTGATCCCCAGGCAAGCAGGGCCTGGAGTGGACCTCAGCAGTCCTACAGCAGAGGGGCCGGACTGTTAGAAGGAAAACTAAGAAACAGAAATAACTTCATCATCAACAACCTGGACGTCCACTCAGACACCCAATCTGAAAATCAGCAACTACACAAATGACAGGTCGATAAATCCATAAAGATGGGAAGAAACCAGCACAGAAAGGAGGAAAACACCCGAAACCAGAACATCAAGATTACACCCAAAACCTTGTAATCTCCTCATACAAGGAATTACAACTCCTTACCAGCAAGGGAACAAAGCTGGATGGAGAATGAGTGTGATGAAATGACAGAATCAGAATTCAGAAGGTGGGTAATGAGAAACTTCTGTGAGCTAAAAGAACATGTTCTAAATCAATGCAAAGAAACTAAGAACCTTGATAAAATATTTGACAAAATGATAACAAGAATGGACAACTTAGAGAGGAATATGAATGAATTGATGGAGCTGAAAAACACAACACGAGAACTTCATGAAGCATGCACAAGTTTCACAGCCAAATTGACCAAGCAGAAGAAAGGATATCAGAGGTCGAAGATCAACTCAATGAAATAAAACAAGAAGGCAAGATTAGAGAAAAAAGCACAAAAAGGAATGAACAAAGTTTCCAAGAAATGTGGGACTATGTGAAGAGACCTAATCTATGTCTGATAGGTGTACCTGAATGTGACGAAGAGAATGAATCCAAGCTGGAAAATACTCTTCAGGATATTATCCAGGAAAATTTCCCCAACCTAGCAAGGCAGGCCAATATTCAAGTCCAGGAAATACAGAGAACACCACAAAGATATTCCACAAGAAGAGCAACCCCAAGGCACATAATCGTCAGATTCACCAGGGTTGAAATGAAGGAGAAAATGCTAAGGGCAGCCAGAGAGAAAGGTCAGGTCACCCACAAAGGGAAGCCCATCAGACTCACAGCAGATCTCTTGGCAGAAACACTACAAGCCAGAAGAGAGTGGGGGCCAATATTCAACATCCTTAAAGAAAAGAACTTTCAACCCAGAATTTCATATCTAGCCAAACTAAGCTTCATAAGTGAAGGAAAAAATAAAATCCTTTGCAAACAAGCAAGTACTCAGAGATTTTGTCACCACCAGGCCTGCTTTACAAGAGCTCCTAAAAGAGGCACTACACATAGAAAGGAACAACCAGTACCAGCCACTCCAAAAACATACCAAATGGTAAAAAGCATCAACAGAATGAAGATTCTGCATCAACTAATGGGCAAAACAGCCAGCTAGCATCAAAATGGCAGTATCAAATTCACACATAACAATATTAACCCTAAATGTAAATGGGCTAAATGCACCAATCAAAAGACGCAGACTGGCAAATTGGATAAAAGCCAAAACCCATCAGTGTGCTGTATCCAGGAAACCCATCTCACATGCAAGAGTATGCAAAGGCTCAAAATAAAGGGATGGAGGAAGATTTACCAAGCAAATGGAGAGCCAAAAAAAGCAGGAGTTGCAATTCTCGTCTCTGATAAAATAGACTTTAAAGCAACAAAGATCAAATGAGACAAAGAAGGACATTACATAATGGTAAAAGGATCAATACAACAAGAAGAGCTAACGATCCTAAATATATATGGACGCAATACAGGAGCACCCAGATACATAAGGCAAGTTCTTAATGACTTACAAGGAGACTTAGACTCCCACACAATAATGGAGTCTTTATAAATAAGTGGAGACTTTAACACTCCACTGTCAGTATTAGACAGATCAACCAGAAAGAAAATTAAGGATATCCAGGAGTTGAACTCAGACCTGGAACAAGAAAACCTGATAGACATTTACAGAACTCTCCACCCCAAATCCACAGAATATACATTCTTTTCAGCACCACATCACACCTACTCTAAAATAGACCACATAATTGGAAGTAAATCACTCCTCAGCGAATGCAAAAGAACGGAAGTCATAGCAGTCTCTCAGACCACAGTGCAATCAAGTTAGAACTCAGAATCTGATAATGGATTAGTATAGATTGAGGTGTTAGTCTGTTCTCACATTGTTATGAAGAAATACACAAGACTGGGGAATTTATAAAGGAAAGAGGTTTAATTGACTCACAGTTCCACATTGCTGGGAAAGACTCAGGAAACTTACAATCATGGCAGAAGGCAAAGGAGAAGGAGACACCTTCTTCACAGGGCATGAGGATGGAGTGAGTGCAAGCAGGGAAATGCCAGATGCTTATAAAACCATCAGATCTCACTCACTTTCATGAGAACAGCATGAGGGAAACCACCCCATGAACCAATTACCTCCACCTGGTCCTATGTGGGGATTATGGGGATTACACTTTGAGGTGAGATATGGGTGGAGACACAGAGTCAAACCATATCAATTGGTTTCATGTTGAAATTTGACCCCCAGTGTTGGAGGTGGGGCCTAATGGGAAGTGTTTGGGTCCTGGGAGTAGATCTCTCATGAATAGATTAATGCTCTCCCTGCAGTGGTGGAAATGAGTGAATTCTCACTTTGTTTGTTCCCCAAACAGCTGGCTGTTAAAAAGAGCCTGGCATCCTCCTCCTCTCTCTTTCTTTCTCTCTCTCTCTCTCTCTCTCTCTCTTTTTGTTGTTGTTGTTTTGAGATAGGCTTACTCTATTTCCCAGGCTGGAGTGCAGTGGTGTGATCTTGGCTCACTGCAACCTCTGCCTCCTAGGTTCAAGTGATTCTCCCATCTAAGCCTCCTGAATAGCTGGGATTACAGGCATGAGTCACCACACCCAGCTACCTCCTCTCTCTCTTGCTTTTCTCCCCATATAATCTCTATACACACCAGCTTTGTTTTGTTTTCTGCCATGAGTGGAAGCAGTCTGAAGCCCTCATCAGAAGCAGATGCCAAGTACAGCTTGTAGAACCACCACCAAATAAACCTTTTTTCTTTATAAATTGCCCAGACTCAGGTATTCCTGTATAGCAACATAAACAGACTAAGACACTGATGTAACCCAACATTGTGATGTAACTGTATTGAGCGGACAGGACAAGGAGAACTTTGGGGTGGTGAGGGGGTATAAGAGCACTAATTCTCAACTTCTATGCTAGACAACAGATAATGTTTAACATAGATACATCAGGGTATCTACAATATATCTACATTATCTAGAAAAAACAAGGCAAGTACAGAGGAAACAACTCTGAGTTGAAAGTCGTGACCCTTGAGAAAGAATTGGAGGTAGGAAGGGAAGGTCAGAGAAGTGCTATTTTTCATTATAATCTGTTAGTGTATTTGATTTTTTTTTTTGGATAGAGAGTCTTGCTCTGTCACCCAGCCTGAAGTGCCTTGGCACCATCTTGGCTCACTGCAACACCTCTGTCTCCCAAGTTCAAGCAATTCTCCTGCCTCAGCTCCTGAGTAGCTGGGATTATAGGCACCCCCCACCATGCCTAGCTAATTTTTGTATTTTTAGAAGAAATGGGGTTTCACCATGTTGTCCAGGCTAGTCTCCAACTCCTGACCTCAGGTGATCCATCTGCCTTCCTCCCAAAGTACTGTGATTAAAGGCGTGAGCCACCACGCCCGGCTTAGTGTATTTGATTTTTAGGACTGTGGACATGTTACTCTGATTTTCAATATTAACTATAAAAGATAAAGTGTATTCTGAAGACTTGAAGTAACTTTTATGTGCTATCCATTGTGTCACAGAGTCAGTTTTGTTTGATAACTGAAGAGTTGTCTTAGGAGTCTTTGGGCATGCTGCCAACAGGGTGTGTGAAACATGTGCTACCAAAAAAGTTATCTCATTTTATCTCAGAGAAGAAACAGCTCAGCTAAGGCAAGACAGTAGTTTCTTTGTAAAAACATGGGAGCCTCTACTGAACTCTGCAGAATAAAATTTCTATATTAAGATCACTCTGGCTTCTAAAATATATAAATTATTCAATTTTATATAGGACTGGTGGGGGGAAGACAACTCATATCACCAACTGTTTCTTCTCTATTTTAATCAATTTAGATGCAAACGGAGTCATGCTCAGCTGCAGGAGACACAATTAATGAAATGTACTAAGTAAGTACGAGCTAAATGGAAAAGAATACGAATCCTTAAAATCATTATGTTTTTCTCTAGATCTGTAAATAGGTCAACAGACTATTACGCTTGAAAAAAACCCCTTAATTCCTTTGTTTTTACTAGGCAAAGGCCTTGTAAAATTGATAGCCTGAGATTTTCAATATAAGCATTCACAGTACACCTCTATGACAAGATTCTGTGTTCTGAGCTCGGGCCACACTATGAACATTTAGTTGCATTACAGTATTCTTCCCATGTAAAAGTTTACATTAATATGATTTTTATTATTTTTATTTGCAATTTCAATCTCTCTCCATAAATGTACTTAAAATCATACTGCAAATGTCCCAGCTTGAGATGTTTTCTTTCAGCACTGATAAGGAAAGCTTTGCTGTGTTTTGCTTTACCAACCAATGCATATCATGCCTTAGAAAAATCCATAATATAACCAGAAAGAAAATCAAATGGGGCCTCATTTACCTTGCTGGCAAGACATTTCATGGCATTTCTGCATTTTACTAAGTGTATTCACTTATTCCTTGACTTTGTGTCTTTCAAAAATATCGTCAAATGTCTCATCACCACTTTCTTAACTGCTTTTCTTTTTTTGCCCTTTTCTCCATGGATAACTCTCTCTTTGTGTTCTTTTCTGATCCTTTTGTGGAAAAAATACCACTTAAAGCAAATCACAATGGGGTACAATCTTAAAAGGTCAAATTAATTACTATAGGAAAATTTGAATGTTAGCTGGCTTTGAAAGCGAAATGAAACACAAATGCATCTCCTTTGACTATGTTAGTTGTTCCATCTAAACCGATCAAATGTCCCTGTCTTAGCAAATGCAGTAAATAATTCTGATGAAGTCTGGCCAGCATGTGTAGTTGCTCTAGCTTTTATCTCTTGATTACGGTCACTGCAGGATGAGCAGGGTGAAATCACTGACCCATGTCACCTTCCATTATAAATCAGGTAAGCACAAGCCACCCTTTTGATCGGCTATGATATACTTCATAAAGGAAACTTCAATTTCCCACTAAAGTCTGCACCAGAGGGAGGCGGAGGAAAATGAGCAAATCAATAACCTTTTCCCTAAGATGAAACCATGATTTATAATGCTCTTACAGAGGGCCAAGATGCTTGTTTTTCAGGATGGTGGCAGTGATTCTGTGGGCAACCAGTAGAAACAGAAGCCTGAAATCAGATTGTTATGAGGAAGTGGAATAACATATCAGAATAAAAGGTTATCTCTTTGGATTCCTCCAATTCTGAAATCACAGTACCAAAGACGTTGGCCTTTGATTCCTACTGAGTAGAAACTCCAGAAAACTTTCCTCTGAGAATTTGCCAGACCTTTTGTATAAGATCATTGAAAGAACACCTGGAATATGTCATACTGAGTTTGATAAAAAGGACATGTTATTTAGAAATTGTGCTTCAGCATTTGAGTCATAATTTTCTTCAGAAACATGCAGGGACTCGTATTATAGTGACTATATTGCTCAGTGTGAATTGATACACTTAATTTTGTTGGAGCAAAAAGAGGAAATATTAAATTGCTGTGTGAGGCAGTCCTAGGAACATGTCACTGGTGCTTCTAAATTACTAGTTCCTTCCCATTTAAATATTTATTGAACAACATGCCACATCATATACTATATAAATTAAATTGATATGCTCAAATATATCCTGGCTTATTACAATGCATGACACCTTAAACAAATAGAACAGCATTTGTTTAAAATAATTACTTACATAGAAGGCTCTTGAAAAGAGCTTGTCCCTTTATGTTGTGAGTTAGTGCAGCTTCATTGTTGTGACATAAAAAAAATTTCAATTAAAAACTTCCCAAGACCAGAAGAAATAAAATCAGCCAGGAGCTGCGGCAAGCCTCAGTATATTAACTTCTGGATCTTTTTGAAAATTGACAAATAATGACTGCCTATGTCATATATTTATGGGGTACAATGTGATATTGTAACAAATGTTTACATTGTAAATGATCTAATCAAGCTAATTAGCAAATCCATCATCTCACATACTTATTAAAAGGTAAAACATTTTAGTAAGACGTGAATAAACTTCAGTGATCTATTGCACAGAATGGTGACTATGACACTTAGTTTCTTTGAAGGCCAAAGAAAAACAACTGAACCGATGGGGGTGTTTTGCAACGTTGGAAATGACTGAGGCCTGTATTCACAGGCACCAATTAACCCTACAGGTTCCTACAGTGGGTAGAGAAGTTTCATTCGGAGAGTTCCTAATCCATTCCTTGGCTTTTGCAAATTACTTACAAAAGGACTCAGAATGTTGTGTTAGAATTAAGTAAACATTTTCTAGTTACTGTGTGTCAGGACTGAGGCTTTGAGAACCCAAGGGTGCAAAGGTGTAAGTTAGAAAATTTGGCCTTCTTAGTCCAGGACTATGCTGTTTCTTTTCTTTACTTTTCTTTTTTCTTTTCTCCTTCCTTCCTTCATTCCATCTGTCTGTCCGTCCATCCGTCCGTCTTTCCTTCCTTTTTTCTGAGACAGTCTTGCCCAGGCTGGAATGCAGTGATGCAGTCTCGACTCACTGCAACTTCTGCCTCCTCGGTTCAAGCGAGTCTCCTGTCTCAGCCTCCTGAATAGCTGGGATTACAGGTGCCTGCCATCACACCCAGCTAATTTTTGTATTTTTAGTAGAGGGATTTCACCATGTCGGCCAGGCTGGTCTCCAATTCCTGGCCTCAAGTGATCCACCTGCCCCCGCCTTCCAAAGTGCTGGGATTACCACACTAGTCATGCTATGCTATTTCTGTTCTTTACAAATCTTATGCTCAGGCAATATTTCATACATGAATAATTAAAATGAACTCCAATGAAACCTTTGACATCTTATTTTCTTTTCAACCTTAGGTACAGAGGACTGAATTCATTACCCTCCCCACAACTGCACCATGATACCACATCACTGATGCTGTTGATACAGCATTGTGCAAATAATGTATATTGTTGTTTATCCCTTTTATGAACACTCTTTACTTTCATTCTCTTCCATGACTGCCACCATAGCCAATGTGTTTTAATTGTGGATTTGAATTTGAGTAAATCCTTGCAAGATAAATTTGTGTCTTTTCATTTACATGATAATGGCAGCATGATACACTCCTCACATTTTTCTTACTTTACAGTCAGCTGCTTTTATGATGTATCGAGTTACTATGATTGTTTCTAATTGATGCAAAGTACTGACTGCACTGCCGTGTGCATACCCATTCCCCTAGTGATGGACAGTCAGATTCTCTAACTCTCTCCTTTCACGAACAATATGTTGTCAACATCCTTACTCATGACTTACATGTGAATTTCTCTGGGTATATACTAGAGATGGAGGTATGCTTGATTGGTGTGTATATATTTACATATTTTGACAAGCATCATTGATTGCTCTCCAGAATGACTGCATCAGCATACAATATCCCATGTACTTTAGAAGAATTTTAGTTCAAGCCTCCTCTCCCCAACCTCCTCATCCTTCTCATCACTTTTCATTCTCAGTCATTAAGGCCCAGTCTCAGCCTGACTATGAGAAAGAGGGAGGACTTTGGCCCTGTTATCCACCCCCAGGGGATAAGGGCACTGTCCCCAAATATCACCTCTCTCTCCTCTGCTGGGTGCCATCTTGCCCTGTTGGCAAAAGGTAGGGGCTAACTACACACTAGATTTGGAATTTGGAGGCTTAGAATTCATCAGGAAGTGATGAAGGACTTATGTGCAGGTGAATGTGAAGGTGGGATAGTCTTTTTTGTTTTTTTGAGACTGAGTCTTGCTCTGTTTCCAGGCTGGAGTGCAGTGGCACAATCTTGGCTCATGCAACCTCTGCCTCCTGGGTTCAAGCAATTCTCCTGCCTCAGCCTCCCGAGTAGCTGGGACTACAAGCACATGCCACCAAGCCAGGCTAGTTTTTATTTTTTATTTTTGCATTTTTAGTAGAGATGGGGTTTCACTGTGTTATCCAAGATGGTCTCCATCTCCTGACCTTGTGATTTGCCCATCTCAGCCTCCCAAAGTGCTGGGATTACAGGCGTGAGCCACTGCACCCAGTTGAAGGTGGGAAAGTCTTAAAGGAGTGAGGGTCAGCTGACCTGGCTCCTAGTAACTAGCCCCACTGAAGGACTTGCTCCAAGTCTAAATGGAAATAAGAGGGCCAACAACTTGGGTGGCCTGCCTGAAAGGAGTAGTTCATTTTGTCCATTTTACTACCCTCCAACCCATTTCTAATTGTCCAGCCTGAAGGAAGAAAGGAATGTGAAACCTGAGAGCAAATCCTGTCTTTTGAAGCAACAAAACAGCACTGCAAAATTGTCTGCGGGTGGGAAGAGCTCCGAATGGCCACATGGCTGCCCCTCAGCAGGGTGAGAATCTTCAGCCTGGCAGACATAGGCAGCAGAGTAGGGAGGATGGGTGTCAGTGGGGTTTCCACTTTCAGCCAAACTTTATGCAAATATTTTTAGAAACTTCCCTACTTTCTTGGCTGGGCCATTTGGAGGACCCATTTTGGGGGTAGCAGAGGAAGGAAAAGGGCATTGGCCCTGAACTTGAGGAGCGTTTGACAGAAAGCTGAGCATGAGTGAGTACATGTGGCTTCTTGGGTGTCAGCCCAATAGAATGGAAAACCACATAGTGAAGCCATTAAGGGTGTGGTGTCTGGAGGTGTGGCATGGCCCTAAATCCTAGCTCCTCCACCTGACTAGCTGGGTGATCTTGGGCAAGCCATTGAACTTCCTGGCCTCAGTTTCCTCACCTGTAAAACATAGATAATATTAGTGCCTACTTCATGGAGTAGTTGTAAAAATTAAAGAATATATCTTCACTGCTTGGAATGGAGTATGGTACATAATACATGGTCAGTAAACATTAGTATAGGATGCTACTGACACCACATTTTTTATTCAAGGGGTGAGTGGGGGGTGTTTCTCCTCTGCTCTCACCTCGCAGTTCCTCTCATTTTCCCTGAGAGAGTCTCAAACATAAAACCATGGCAGTCTGGAGGCAGACTTAACGGTTTCTTTGCATTAATTTTCTAGCCATTCAGTTCTGTGTTTCTCCAACTTCCCCACTCTCCTGCTGAGCCTTCCTGGAGTACAGCAACAGGCAGCTCACCCCGCTAACCATGACAGTCAGACTTCTGATGTTTTGAAGGCTCTCTACTACGCGATTCCTCTGTGAGTCACAGACCAACGCTGGGGTCACTGCAGCCCATCTTCTGCCCCGTCACACTTCAACCATGTGGCTCAGCCCTGTTCAAACCATTATCATGCTGACAGGCTTTTCTTGGAGAAACGCCCAGGTGTATCTGATTTGTCTGGCATCAATGCTTAATAGCAGGGAAATTCTCCCTGATGGTGCAGTAATTAATGGGATGCCTGACACGTGATAAATGCAAAAGTCTGGATCTGATCTCTTGAGCAGTCTGCAAAGGCCACAGATACAATGCTTTAAAATCAAAATGTGAGTCACAGGCTAGAAAAAAAGAAATGACAGAGGGGAGAAGAGAGAGAGAGAGAGAGAGAGAGAGAGAGAGAGAGAGAGAGAGAGAGAGAGAGGGAGAGAAAGAGCAAGAGAGAGCGAGAGCGCGACCACCAGAAGCCTGAGAACCATTTCAATGACAATAATCTTGCTGTAGCTTAGCACTGACAAAACTTTGGGTGGTGGGAGAACTACTTGTGATTCTGCTGGTCTGTGTGTAAGCTCCTGCAGAGGTCTCAGCTAAGTGAGCAGCGATGGAACAAGATGAGTGCCTCCCCTTCAAGCCCGTCAGCTAGGGCCATCACCAGGGTGGTAATGCATTCCGGAAATGCCAATTCTCAAAGGCAAAGATAGCCCCAACAGCACAAACTTATCTAATAAACTGATCAGAACTGGGCACAACTGTTTCAACCAGGTGTGTGGAGGGGACTGACACCCCTGAGTAGCCCATTGATTACAGGGCTCTGTGATTCAGTTCAGCAAAACACTCACTGTGGGCTCGCCTGGCTCACACATTGTATTCACTGCCACGGAGGGTATAAAGATGACTAAGACTTCATCTCTGGTCTCAAAGAGTCCAGAAATTGCCTAGAGTTCTAAAGAAACTTATTGATTGTTTTATTGAAATTATAAAGAAAATTCTGTAAGATAGAGGTGTGTCTAGACACAAGGTAGTAGGGAGCCTAGGTGAGTTGATTGCTTTGGGGTGGTGTTGAACCACTTGACTGGACCCACGCCTTCGGCTCATTTGTGCCCGCCTGGCTCGTGCCAGGTGTTTTGGGGGACAGATCGTGTAGTCCACTGGGTTTTCGAGGCCTGCTGTGTGCCGTTCCCGTGCTCTGCCCACCATTTGGTTTCTTCTGTCCATCCGATGCTTGTTTTTCTCCTTTTCCAAACCCCCTTTGTCACACACCATGTTCATTCCTCTATCACTCCCATTCTCCATGTTTTTTTTGTCATGTCACTTCCCCTCCAACCACTTCCCTGCTATCTTTTCCTTCAGTCCCCAATATTCCTTCTCTTTCTTTCAACAACTCCATTTCTTTTCTGCTAATCCTTTCCTTTTCTTATCCTGTTTCCCCCTTTCCTTTGGCACAAAACAGTCCTTGCCAGGTACAACCTTATCCTGAATCCCCACCTGCCACACCTCCTTTCACGAATTGATCCCTTCCTTCAGGCTCCCAGAGAGACACATCTTTCTCCAACAGCACAGGCCTATCACCCATGTCTTCCTCTCTAGGCCAGTACAGCCCTCCTTGTGTTAACATTGGGACACATGTGACATCTGACCTGCACGTGTGTTCTGTTAGGCCCATACCTTGCTTCGAAACTTTTTGAATTAGCTGCTGACTCTTAAACATTGGAGGATTATGGGAGAGCTTCTTTAGAAACAGTTTAGTAGTTTCTCATCTAACTAAACATGCACTTACCAAATGGACATCTTTGGGAGGCCATTATTCTACTTCCCACATATGTAAATTGTATCTCCATAAGAATACATAAGAATTAGAGCATTAAAAATTGGAGAGACTTCATAGAAATATCCAGAATTTTGCCTTTTTTTTTGAAATCAGATTTGGCCAGACTTGGCTTTAATATCTGTATCACTGGAATCTGCTGCAGCTCAGGAGCTGCTAATCCTCTAGAGGGGGTGTGGGCTTTCATATTTGGTTCTGTTCCCTTTTCTACCAGCTTCATTTATTCATGCCACCTGCTTGGTTCCTAGGATATTTAAGTTGTCCCTCTCAGTCTTAAATTGTCAAACCAAGACTCCTGGGACTCTTCCCAACTCATGTTTCCTTCTGTCCCACTGCTCCTCAGCCCTCCACCTAACCCCTCAAGCTAATGTATACCTTCCATCTAACTAGGAAGACCAGCGTAGATTAAAGAACAGAGTGGAATTCAAAGTGACCCCAGCAATGCTGAACTCCCAGATCCATTACAGTATTTGAGGAAGGGGTATGTTCAAATGAGAAGCAAGGCTTTTCATCTTCGGGACTCTTTGCTGTTAACCCAGACAAAATATTTCTTCTCAGTCCAACCTTAGCCTAGAAGCAGCTCTGGCTTCCAGCATGGGGCCAGGCACACATGGATGCCCAATGAGTGTTTGCCAAACCCAAAGTGTAGTCTTATACTCTCATCGAGTAATGTAAATGAAGGCTCAATCCCAGTTTGTTCAGCTGTCATAGAGGCAAAGCCATTGAATCCACTTCTTTGTTGGATAATTTAGACAGAGAAAATATATTTGTTCCATGGCCCTCAACTACTTGCCTAACCCATGCTGGTCATCTCATTAACATGTGCTGCTAATCACTGAAAAGACTGGGCATGGAATACATAAATGGCTTAAATGGCTCATCTCTTCTGCTACCACTAGTTTACACAGAACTCTTTTTTTTGTTTGATTAAGGTTTACACTAACCACGTCACTTTGTTCTAAACCATGTTGTTTCCTTTTGTCATACTCTGCCTCCTTTGATTTCACCAGATCTCAAGGCTGACCACTGCCCTCTCCCACCGCCCCGTTCTCAGGCTCATTGTTTTCTAACCTTTTTGCAAGTGTTCTGTCCAAGCCCCTAAGTAACTCCCTTCTATCTTGTGCATTCCATGCTGTGACAGGCAGCACAGCTGAAG